TCATATTTGAATATGTTCTATCTTCTTGTTTCAATGTGACTTGTAATAACAAGATTCAAATTGTGATTTTTTTGTGGATGTATGTTGATTGAATTGTTTTCGTAAACAATAGACAATCTTAGTTGTTTTATATAATTTGGTAAACATGATTATACCACACTATATAACGGGAATTTTAAGTTGAAAATGTAAACAATTGCAATATAAAGAAATAATATGACCACACTTCATATTAGGGCTGAAAAAGAATTACCGCCTACCGAATAACACGGTATACCTACCAAACAATACCGAAAAATTACCGAAACTTCGGTAACCATTACATTTGGTACGGTATTAGTACCGTACCACTATTATACGGTACGATAGCGGTATTGTATTTCAGTACCATGGTAATACCGTACCGTACCGTAAATTTAAATTTTATAATTTAATTAATATATATTTATTTTATATTGGTTAATTAACTAAAATTAAAATTACTACATAAAATAAATAGGTCAAAACTTAAAAAAGTTAAAATAGAGTTCTTAAAAATTTATGAGACAACATTGAAGCTCAGTGAAACAAAAAAGCGTACATCCCATTTGGTTTTCACTGAAATAGTAGGGCTGCAAATTGAGATTTAAAAAAAAATCATGACTCTAGTAATCTTATTTGCAAGCTGTGACTAAATTAATGAAGTTAAAGTTTGATAAATATTGAAGGGGCTTTGAAATTGAATAAGATCATATAAATAGCTTTGAAATTAAAATTAGCGGTAGAGTACCATGTACCGGTATACCGTACCGAAAGTAACGATATACCGAATAACGGTATACTACACTTATTGGTACGGTAACGGTATCGAATTTTTCAATACCATATAATTCGATAGGTACACGGTATTGATCAAAATATTCGGCAACCGTACCGAAACCACCCCTACTTCATATAGTCACATATAGTCATATTAGACTATAGTCTTGTTCAACAATAGTCATATTCGGCGTAGTAAACCTGTTGAGAAAAAAAATCAACTTTTTTTTAAAAAATAAATATAAAAAAAAGAAAAAAATGCTAAATAAAGTCCGAAAATAATAAAAAAATAAAATATAAAAAATTCAATTTTTTTTATTTCTATTATTATTTTTTTTTTTTTGACTTTGTAGCATTTTTTTAGGAATTAGGTGGCTAATTGAGATAAGGTAATATTAAGAATAAAATTTCTAAGGGTTATCACAAAGAAAGATTGAAGGGGTGGACATATCACCATTTATTATCTATATGAGGGGCTTAATTATTTGGGGTTTTGGTGCATAAGTCCCCAACCAAACATCTTTATCATTCTACGTTTAGAGGTTATATCTCTTTCACCAATAAGCCCATCCTTTTAATATTTGTTATAAATAAAGGAAACATTCATGTATATGACAATATTACCCCCAACCCTTTATACCCACTTCATAATTGTAATCCCAATTTAATTAATTTTGTCCACAAAAATCCAATTTTGACCACAAAAATATAATTATGACTTTTTTTTCAAAAAAAAAAAATTTCAATTTTTTTTTGCTGCAGGTTTCCTGCGTTGACTTTTTGATTTTTTTAATTTTTTTAATTTTTTTTCTTCCGGATTTTTTCGCCGGCATCCGACGGTCTCTGTCGTTGACTTTTTAAAGTGTTTTTTTAATTTTTTTTTTTTTTTACGTCCGCCGCTAAACGTTGACCGTAATTATGATGTCATTGATAGTAAATTAACGTAATTATACTGTCAATGACAGTTCATTAACGTAATTGTACTGCCGTTGAGAATACATTTATGTAATTGTTATGTCGTTGACAGTAAATTAACGTAATATTATTATTTTTTATTTTGTTGATTCGTTGACAGTAAAATAATTGTAAACACAATAATAGTATTGTCAACAACATCAATATTATTATTTTTTTTGGGTTTTTTGTTTTGTTTGAGTTATTCACGGAGTAACGTAATAATATTACTGTCTATTATTGTAATATTACTGTGGTTGACGGTAATATTACTGTTGTTATAGTAATATTATTGTCACTCACAGTAATATTAATTTTTTTGGCGTATTATTATGTTTACATTTGTTGAACGGTTAACATAGTAGTATTACTCTATATTATTACACAATAATAATGAGTTTTGTTGTGTTAATATTACTATGCTAGAGATTAATATAGTAATATTACTGTGTTAAACTGTAGTTTAGTTAATTTTACTGTTTTTAACAGTAATATAGTTAATATTACTCTCAATCGCAGCAATATTGTTGTTTAAACGAAAAAAAATGTTACAGAAAGAAAAAAAATTCGAAAAAGTCAACGCCGTAGACCGGTGAAAAAATCCGGAAGAAAAAAAAATTGAAAAGTCAACGCCAGAGACAGGCGTTGACCGGCGGCAAAAAAACTCGTTGTTATTGTGTCAAAATTGAATAATTTGTGAAATTTGGGGTCAAATTGAGGTTAAATTAAATTAATAATGAAATTGGAGCATATTAAAGTATGAGGGGCCATTTTAGTATTTTACAAAAATGTGGACCATATATGAACTTATTTGTAAAGAAGTTTTTTGTCAGGATCTCTTTATGAATAAGTACCCGTTGATGGGCTTATTTGTAATCACCACTAATATTTTTCACTTGTACCTGTTGTACTGTGTAACCAAACACACTTAAATGTTCATAATAGTACATAACACTATGTTCGCTTCAAAACCTAAATATGTACAATCATTTTACCTTCTTACTCATCACCAGCAAAGATCAAATCGTACTCAAATCTGAAAGCATTAATGTGAGAATCTAAAGTACAAAAAGATTTTGAATATGTGATTATTGATTAATGTACGATAGTTGCAGAAACAGGAAATGTAACTAACTTCAAATGCAAACAAGAAAAATAAATTACAGTACAAACTCGCAGTTAATTACTTCGAAACCCCTAGGTTATGGAAAACGCTGCACCAAACCTTCCCTATTTATTCTATTGCCTAGAATCCTTATGTGTTTTATTTTATCTTGCATGAAATCTCCTATTCCATTAGCAATTAACATTAGCTATAGAGGGGATTTTATGCAAGTTTTTCGTAACACACGGGGGTTTGATGTATGTTATTTACAATACAAGTAGAATTTATGCAAAAAAATATTTATTTATTTAAAACTTGAAATATTTTCAAATTAAGTCAAACACATTTATTCGATTTTTTAAGGCCGAATTTTCAAAATTATTAATATAAATATTATATATATCATAAATTAAATTCAAATTTTCATATTATTTACATTCTTTTGACGGATAATACATCCGAGCAAAATGATATAAATATATAAAAGTTTTGATATTATAAATATATAGTTTTAAATATTTTTTAAATACATTGAGAAATAAAATTTTATCGAAAATTGACAATTTCCAACTTTATTATTTAGTTACAATTTTGATGCAATGGGTTTTTGTAAAAAAAATGGAATCAAATTACAATTGAAGCGGCAAAACTAATAAACTTATTAGAAATTTCATTTTTACCATTAATCTTCTATTTTTCATATTGCAATTGATTATATGTGTTTGTCTTTATTTGAATAAAATGACCCAAATTTTAAATAAATAATTATTATTGCATAAATCTCCCTTATGTTGACAAATAATTATTATTGCATAATTTTCTTTTTTTTTTGGTGCTATTTTTTTGTATTGTTAGTGTTTTTAAGTAAACACTTAGATGGATGAATAATGGGTAAAAAAATACAAGTTAGAAAGTAAAAACTAACATTAATTGGAAGAAAAATTATGTAATAACTTTGGCTTTACTATGGTTTAATTTTGATCATAACTCGATCAAATGACATCTTACGGATTTTATTAAAGAAACGTTGGAAAGCCAACTCAATGAGCTACAACTTTCGTGTTTTAGGTTTTTCGAACTTGTAACGAGAACTTCACAATTGGGATTATTGTGGCGCATCCAAGACCTGGAAAAAGAGGCACTCTAGTGCCACATTAGCTCGTTGCGTAACAATATAAAGCACATCTTCGCAAATTCTACTCGATATTCATCTAGGAAGCTAAGAAGCCTATAGAAATCTTGTGACCAGGCAAATAAATATCCTAGAAAAAATTGTTCTAACCACAAGAAAGAGGAGAACAATTGCAAAAGGAAGATTTACAAAGACTTGAAGTTAAACGATGAAACTTGACTCAATGATTTTCCATGTTTTTCATCCATGTCAATTGGGTTATTTTTTTTTTTTTTTGGTTGGATTGCTTGATCAATAATTATTCATCCTTTACAACTTTGTGTATAAATATACTTACATTATGCTTAAATATGTTTGGTCACCCTACGTTATTAATTTTCATTGTTAAAAGTAAATTGATAAATTTCTTTGATAAGTAAAACTGTACGAGGAGAAGAATCTCAAGTCATTTTTTTATCGTATTGATGTATTGGAACGAGTATGAGTATCGAGTGTGATTATATATATACTTAAACATATAATTGGGTAACAACTATCAGAGCTCGTGTGCAGTGCAGTGCGTTATAAATGCTTCGCTCGTAATTAATTATCATAGAAACACAGCGCGAAGATTGCCTACTGGGTGATGAGAATAGTATATTAGGCTAATGTTTTTATAATCTAATTTGGCATAATGAAGGCCATTTTGTTTTAAAATAAGTTGATTCACGTAGACTTGTGGCAAATCAGTTGCGCATAAGAAAGATTAATAGACTAAAATACACACAAATTAGCAGAGAAATGAACTGATTTTAATAGTGATAAATCTTAGTTATAAATTAAATTAGATGTTATAAGTATGTGTTAAGATATGTATGGGGAAGGAATGGGGCCGGGAGATATAGATATGCATGTGGAAAGTAGGGCCCTTTCTCTGGGATTGTGGAAATCAATATATATATATGCCCTACTACTTACTGTTGAACAAAGAGTCAGTTGAAATTAAATAATATGCGGCTAGGAGAGAGAGGATTGCATCCAAATTAAAGTTTCCATTCCAGTACACTTTATATAGATGCAGATGCAGATGCAGACTCTCTCTCTCTCTCTCTCTCTCTCTCTCTAAATATAGATATATGTATAAATAAATTCCATTAATTTGAACACCATAATAAAATGTTGTTGTGTGGTCCTCGTGTTTCCTAGCATGACCAAGCTGGCAATAATGGTATTGACTTGTTCAAAAAACCAAACATATATCTCAAGTCTAAGCAGCTTAGAAAATCTGAAGAAAAAAAAAACAACTAGTATTAGGCCAATAGCAGCAGCAGCACAAGTACAAGTAAAAGAAATATAGACTTCGCTAGAAATTAGTGTTTTAATGCCAATTAATTACCTGGAGGGTATTAATTAAGAAGGTAGTTTTCAGAATAGAGTTTGGTCAAAGAAGGCGGCAGATATATATACATATGTCAGAATCAAATCATATATCATCAACACATGAGTACTTATAAGACCAGAAGAAGTTATATATTTAGACAAATTAAAGAAATAAATTTTCCATCATCACTTTGACTATGTCATGGATGCTTAAACCAAAAAAATAAAAAACTGCTATTAATCATATATATTAAAATGACAATATTGTTCATAATGGAGCATATATCTATATATATATATATACAGAGAGAGTAAAAAAAAGTAAAAGAGAAAAGTAATTAAGAAGGTTAAAAAAGAAAGATGGGGATGGGAAAGAGTTATAATTAATTAAGAGGGTAATTAAAGAAAAAAGGGGGAGGGGAGGGGGTTGTTGAATAAGAAGGTGTGATGACAGAAGCATAGAGAGCACAAAGGAGTGAGATGCATATTATAATTGCATGCATTTTCATCATCTGTGCTCTCTATCTTCTGTCAACATATTCACCACTTCCCCCTCCCATCCGATATATATATATATATATATATATATATATATATATATATATATAATTTAACCCCGGCCCGGCCCCCAAAACATTGATCACAAATTAATAATCTACTCTACTACTACTACTACGTCTCCCCAATGTATAATTTGTGTGTGTGTTTGAATGATGGAAGGAAAAATATTATTATAAATAGAGAGGCAGCCGGCAGCCGGGGAGGGAGGAGAAGGTATATGATACATGAGAGATGTGTAGGGCTAGCTCATTAATTTGGAGTATTTATAGCAAGAAAAGTGAGGCTGGGAGATGGGGGTGGGGTGGGGTGGGGTGGATATTTGTGGTAAAATAAAAGTGTACCAAAAGTAGTGTTACTATTACTATATATATTTTTATGGGATAAGTAAGTTTGTACCATTTATGCTTTGTAACAGCTTGTCACGAGTTTAACCAAGTCAAGAGACTTATGTATATGTATATACAGCCTGGCTGTAAACTTCCCAACAACCCTAGCTGTATATATATATATATATATACATGGCTAATTAATTCTATTTTCTTTTTTCTCCTTCACATACAACATGCATATTATTCTTGCTTTTAAGCATTCTTTTTCCAATTATACTTATCAAGTTTTGGGTCAATGACCAATCACTCATCTATCTTTTTTCAAACCTTAACTCATGTCCAAACCTATGACTCCTTTTCTATCTTAATTATTTAATTTAATTTGAAAATATATACGACGATGTTCTATGTCTTTTTCTGCCCTAGGCCAAAAATTAAATTATCGTGGCAAGCCCCGTGATTGTTTTATCCTTAATGAGCAGTTTTTGTCACGATTTGCTAATTTGATTCTCTCTTCCCCACTCAAACCCTAACTCTTCTCTCCACCCACAACCCCTTCGCTCCCCCATACGCCTAAGCCCGCTCCCCCTTCATTTGTTTTGTTCTGCCTTCCTCTCTCACGTCTCTCTTCTGTAACGACGGAAACAAACTCATCGAGGAGATCAAAAACCTCACCCTCCAGGCCTACCACCTAGCTCGACCGCCAAATGGTTCGTAAACGTACGTCTAGCCGTACAATGGCTCCCCGGCGACTTTCGCCCTGTACACGATGCTCGACCCACACAATCGGATCATGGATGGTGCATGAAGAAGCGGTAAAAACCAGAGAGCGGTGGAGAGCGGTGATTGCGCGGGAGGCGATGGAGGAGTCTGGGGCAGCGAGATTCAGATCTGAGGGTGCAGCCGTTGTTGAGTCCTCCGCTGCCGCCCAATTCTGAGGTTATAGTATCTTTCTCCCTATTCCTCTATCTCCTCTCAATATCAGTCTGGTTTTTTGTATAAAATTCAGTTGCAGCAAAAAAAGTTGATGATGTTGAAGAACATGGACAAACAACAGGCCAGTTGGAGAAAAAACAACTATGTAGTCATATACAGTCATATGTAATCATGTATAGTTATATATAGAAAAAACAACTATGTAGTCATATACAGTCATATGTAATCATGTATAGTTATATATAAGATTTGTGGTTTTTTTTTTTTAATATACAATGATGTTGATGGTTGTTTTAGTTGAAGATTTACACATGTAATTTTTTGGATATATATTGTGGGAATACTAGTTGACTTTTTTTTTTTCTTAAAAAAATATTTTAATTAATATTACTATCTTGACTACTAAATTACTGTCTCAGACAGTAATATTACTGTTTGGGACAGTAATATTATGAATATTATTTTTCCGAACAGTAATATTATTAATATTATTGTCTAAGATAGTTAAATTACTGTTAGAGATAGTAATTTAGCAGCCAAGGCAGTAATATTAATTAAAATAATTTTTTAAGAAAAAAAAAAGTCAATTAACAGTTAAATTACTGTCTCCAACAGTTAAATAACTGCTGGAGACAATAATTTAGCAACGAATACAGTAATATTAATTAAAAATATTTTTTTAAGAAGAAAAAAGTCAATTAACAGTTAAATTACTGTCTCCGACGGTTAAATAACTGTTGGAGACAGTAATTTAACAACAAATACAGTAATATTAATTAAATTTAAAAAAAAAATCAATTAATAGTTAAATTATTGTCTACAACCGTTAAATAACTGCTGGAGACAGTAATTTAGTAGCAAAGACAATAATATTATTTAAAATATTTTTGAAGAGAAAAAAAAAGTCAATTTACAGTTAAATTACTGTCTCCGAGACAGTAATTTAGCAGCCATTACAGTAATATTAATTAAAATATTTTTTTTAAGAAAAAACAAAATTATAAAAAAAAAAAAAAAAGTCAACGTCGGAGATCGCGGTCAACGGTAGTTGACCGGCCGGAAAAAATATTCTGGGGAAAAAAAGTTTTTCAAAAAAAAAAAAAAAAAGTCAACGCCGGTCATCGGCGGCGACCGGCGGTCTCCGGTGGTGGCGGGTCAAAATTGAAATTATGGTTAAAATTGATTAACCGATGGAATTTGGTTAAATTGGGGTGTAATCATGAAATTGGAGTTGAATTGGGTTTCAATGAATTGGGGATAATTTTGGTATATATAAAGGGATTTTCCTTATTTGCAAATAAGTTTGAATGGGTTGGATTTATTTGAAAGACAAAAAAGTTGAATGTCCCTCTTATAATTAAGTGCCCTTGTCATGGGCCTATTTGCCATTTACCCTATCTGTTTTGTCCATTGTCTGATTTTCTTATTTTGATTCATAGAAAGAAAAAAAGTCAAGGTTTATCCAAAATAATTACAACTTTATATATAGTTCTTAGAAAAAAAAGTGATAGGTAATAAAGTTGATTTAGTTATAAGCATATAGTGTGTTGCAAATAAACTCATTCCATGTTTTTATCTAAAATACTCTCTATAATATATTTTTTTTATCAATTTTCTCATTTTTCATTAACTTTATTAATATTGCACATTGATCCCGGATTTGAATAAACATATCACATTAATCTTCATTTTTATAATTAATTCTCAGAAAATATTTTCTTTTTTAGAAAATATTTTTTTTTTTAACTTTTCTCTCTCTAAATTAATGTGTTAACAACAAAATTACAGTCTTTTTTTTAATCCAATCAGAGACAGGAATGTTACTAATATTATTGTCCCAAAAATTAATATTACTGTCGTAGTCAACAATAATGCAGGTCAAGACTATAAAATTAATTAATACATTACTATCACTATGGTAACAACAATATTAATGTATGAGACAGTATTATTACAGTTAGGACAGTAATATTAATGTCTTTAATCGCAATATTATTGTCTCAGATAGTATTATTTCACGTCAAGACTTAATGAAAAATAGTTTTTTTAGTTTTGTATTAAAAACAACCAACACCGGAGACCGACGGTCAACGACGGCTGAACTGTCGGTAACAAAGTTTCAGAAAAAAAAATATTCAAAAAAAAGTCAACGTCGGAGACCGGCAGTCACTGAAGGATGTACAAAATTGGCTAATTAGTGAAATTAGACTAAAGTGGGATATACACAATGAAATTGAAGTTGAATTAGAATTTCAAGGTGTTGAAGGTAATTTTAATATATATGAAAAAGTTTTTCTTATTGACAAATAAATTTGATTGAGATAAATATATTTACAGACAAAAAAAATTTGATTCTCTTTTTTAATTAAATATTCTTTGTCATAGACCATTTGTTATTGTCAACAATATATATTGAAAGAACGTGCTTATATACCAAATAGAACAAATGGCTGACCTGGACCTCCATATAAAAAGCTTTTTAGGTAAGGGGTATTGAAATTAACTCCTAATTTTCCTAAAAAGAAAATGAGGAAATTAACTCTGTGAGTTAATTGGTTGTTGAGAATGAATATAGTTATGTAAGTAATAAATGTGTGGGCGCAACGTTGATAGGGTGGTTGAGAAGATTGTTTGTAACTGAAGTTGCAGAGTACTATTAGGGCTGACTGCTGAGCAATTCACCATATTTACAGCGCCCACAGATTCCTATTGTTTTTTTTTTTTTTTTTTTACTCTCATCATGATACAGCCTTTGCCTTCATATAAATATATATATATATATATATATATATATATATATATATATATATATATATATATATATATATATATATTTTTAATTATAATTATGTATACATGTGAAAAACAACATGTATGTATGATTTATAAATCTTAATTGTATGTTTACTACAATTTATTTTTTCTCTCAATGTGTAGGTATGACTAACTATTTTTCATATATATATATATATATGAGTGAAAATATGTTGTCCTCGTGTACAGGGTTGTCCATGGGTCGGTTTTGCCCACCAACCAAATCAGTTTTGACCCATATTTTTATGTGGGTAATCACCTATTAACCAACTCATTCAAGTTAGGTCGATAATATCAACCAACCCATATATAGTTGGGTTGATAATAGTTTATAATAGACTAAAAAGTTGGTTGGTCTGATAATATCCACCAACCAACTTTATTTATTATTTATTAATTTTTTAAATTCTTTAATAGTTTATTCACTAAATTACTTAAAAAAATTGGTTGAATTCTTGTTTAGTTCATGCTCAGAAGACACAAAATTTCAATATACTGTTTACTATTTTAATTTTTTTTATGCTGAACTAAGACTGTGTTTGTTTAGTGCTTAATGTGCGCTGAATGTGCATAATCACTTATTCGGTCAGCAAAATACTATTTAGTGCGTTTGATTAACATCTCTGAATCGCACCATTTTATGCTGACCGATTAAGTGTGGAATATCACACTTAATGAACCAGAGATAGCTCTCAATGGGTTTTGGAAAATTTTATCCAATTAAAATTTTTGAGAACTCCAATATCATTTGTCTCTTACTTCTTTATTAATAATTGAATCTAGAAAACATTAAATTCTTTTATTACTATCAAATTTATCTCTATCAAACAATATTAATCAAAACAGAGAAAAATGTGATGTGAGAAAAAAATATGTAAAACCTAAACAATTATGAACAAGATATAAATGCCCCGTTTGGTTACCAAGATAAGCCATGATTAACTAA